TTCTTATTAGATAAATGTTTTTATGTTATATTGCTGTACATACCTTCCAATAACTCTGCATATTTCTTCGCGCGACGTTTGGTTTTCTTTTGCAAGGGAGCGCGTAGTTCCACTGTATCAGTTGTTGCATAACATCGAATCACTATACATTTCACTGCTGAAAATATATAAAATAAGTTATAAAATTTAGATATAAAAATAGGATTCAGTCTCATTCAATCTTTATGTAAGTTTCCACTACCTTGAAAAGGTCCATCTACAGCATCTAAAATATTTTAAGCTACAAATATATATGTATACAGCAATAACTAGAGAAAAAAAATTGGAGCCATGCATTGATAATGCATGACATTGTTACTTTATGATAATTAATACAGAAACAAATCAGAATGGAATACCATCGTGACTATGAAGCGTACAATTTTTTCATTACTATTGATACCAGAAAAACAAAGTTGCAAAAAGATAAAGGTTATAATGAGATGAGGAAGAATGACATTTGCAAAACGACAGCGTGTTATTCATAATCATTTGTAAATAAGAGATCTCGGATACGCGTTTACGTACCACGAGGTGGGCTCAGATGATGAAAGTTGCAGAACGAGCATAGTCGCGCCCGGCTTTGGGTGACCGGTCGGGCTGACATGATACGTGCATTCATCGAGACGGTACGGGTCCTCAGAAAGTTGAGCATTCTTACGATGGTCGCGTGACGCGAGTCATCGATTGCCGAGGATGCCGATGATGGTGTCGGCGCGATACGTTAACCTAAGATCTAACCTCTTTCATAAATCGCCATAATAAAAGATAATAAAACACGAGACACGCAGGAGGAACTAGGAGTGTTCAGGAGGGAGTACGGCAATCATCTTACTCTAGCACGACTTGCACTTTCTGCACTTTCTCGGATCTCTCGCTTATTCCCATGTTAAAAGTTATCTGTCTCACTTTGGTGTAAGTAGTGCAGAGAGTGCAAGAAGAAGGCACTCCAGATTTGTCATTCATATAGTTATTGCCAACAAAAAAAAATTATTCTTTTATGTTATTTCTAGCAATATAGATTAAATTTATAATTGTAAATTCATTTTAAAAGTTTAATTTATACTTTTTATTCTTTTTTATAATTCGAGTTTAATGAAGAATCAAATAAAAATAAATAGCATAAATTAAACCGTTTAAAATACGGACTCGAGATTTATCTAGAAATCTGTAAATTGAAATTAAATTACAGTGATAGAAAAATATAATTATTTTTACTTTTTTTGACTTTGGCTAGTTCTTTAATTGTCTCCTTCTTCTAGCTGACCATGATAAATCTGCGCATGCATGTTCAGTTTTTGTGATTTATATATATAAAAACGTGATCTAATTTTACGCAATTTTACAGCGACAATTCTTTATTTATCAGTGTAACTGTGGATACAATGATTTCTATGAATTTTTCTTTGGCTACGACAGTCTACGTCCTATGATAAAACGAAAGTAAAAGCGAACGAGCTTTACATTTTAAACTTTTAATGATATTTCAACAATCTGAAAGTTTCAAAAATTAAAATTTAAAATTCATATAAGTTTTAATTTAAATTTCTTTAATTTAAATTTTTTAAAATTATTCTAAAATGAGGAAAATATTCAAGTATATAATTGAGGGAAAATGAGCGGAATAAAGGCCTAATTACAAAATCTTGATATTAAAAATTAAAATAACTTGTTACTTTTTTATTGTACACAAATGGGTACGATATCAAATGAATTTATGTAATGTCTTTAAGAGGTTACATGTTACAATACTTCTCTATTATGATCAATATTATATGAATAAAAAGTTAATTACTAAAAAGGAAAAAGGGCTTAAGTAGAACTGCTTTTATTCCGCCCATCTCCTCAATTATTTTAAATATTTTCAATTTTAATTCAATTAAACTCATTAGCATGAATAGAGAAAAAAATATTTAAAATATTTTAACAAAATAATTTTGTATTATTTTTTCAATTTTATTACAGGTTTTTCTCATAAAATTGAAAAAAATAATACAAAACTATCTTATTAAAAATCTAAGATATATACAGCCTTCAATAAACTTAACATAGATACAAAAATATCAAAATATTTAAATCTGTATGTAATTTTACAAGAAAAACTTACAATAAAATTGTAAAAATAATATGAAAATATTTTAAAATCTAGGAAATAAATGTATGATATTTCATAATTCAATTTTGTTTATAAAAAAAAAAAGAATTCAACAGATAGAAATTGCAGCGAAATTGAGATTGATACAAACTGAGCCCTAAACCTTTGTTCCATTGTTAAAGTAGTTTAAACTTTAACTCTAAAAAAAACAAATAACTATGACTCACAATTTATTGCTTGCAAGCCGATTATGTTGAACTTCTTCATCTTCTGAAAGATCGCACACGTGTTGTTCATGTGTATCAAGAATATTTTTTTTATTTAAAAAAAAAAATAAAAAGATAACGTTTTCGCTGACGCAAAAATAAATTCTTGGCTGTATAAATACGCGACGTTTAACGAATCGAATCGGGGCCATACATCCTGTAAGGAAATTAAGTACGTATAGTACATTAATAGATTTTTTTTTATTTAATATTAAAGAAGTGAAAACGTAACAGTTAACGTAACTGAAATTATAGATATAGACGTCAAGAAGGATGAATCATCGATTGGAAAGCTTAACGGAAAGTGGACTTTCCTTCTTCCGCCTCGCGAAAAAAATTGCCTTCTGGCATTTAAACCTACAAGTGCTCTTTACTTTCTGTTTCTTGTTTTTCATTTTTTACAACTATTTCTTAACAATTATGTATTTTCCCAAGCAAAACATAAAGTCATTATATGACATTAAAATGACGTCAAAATGACTTTAAAAGTCACTTCAATTATTGATGATTTCAATTATTAATCATTATCAATTATTTTTATTTATTACTGATTTTTTAATTAAATATTGATACTTTCTAATTAATAATAATTTTTAATTATTGACTATATTTAAAAATTTATTTTAACGTTAAAATGATTTATGACTTTTTTTGCTTAGGTTATTACTAGTTATAGTATTAATATATTATAGTTATAGTTGGGTTATTACTAGTTCTTATCTCTTCCTGGCTAGAAATGATTAATCGATTGATGTTGAATCGATCAATCATTTCTGATTAGGAAAGGTTCCGAAGTTCTGAAAATGAAAAAATAGAATAATAGCAACGAGGCAAATAATGCGATCAAAGTTTCATTACAAATGCTTTGAAGCATTTGATTGACTAATCAGAATAAAGAATTTTACAAATGGAGACTAATCAAAGAATTATTCAAAGCACTTGTAACAATAATGCTCGCTACCCAAAAAGATAAGAACCCAGCAAACGAGAATGGATTAAAATAGATTGAAATTTTTTTCTATCCGAATGCGTATTTTATATATATATATATATATATAGAGCGAATACTTTTTTTGGATTTAATTAGATTCAATTGGATTCAATTAGATTCAATTGGATGCAATTGGATTGAAAAACTATTCAAAATTTTGAATTGAACAGTATTCACAATGCACAGAAAAAGCTAATATTATTTTTAGATTGAAAGGCATAGAGATATCGCTCCATGCGATTCCTATAAATGAATAAAAATGCATTCAGGATTGAAAAACATTAATTTTGACATTGGTCGACAAATCAATATTTCTGAAAATCTGAATCCATTTCAATTCATTTCAATCCATTCTCGTTTGCTGGGAAACAAAGAGTGTAGTTAGTCTCATTAAGAATGCTTTATATAAAGCGCTCGATTTATTAATTAGAAGTAAGAATTTTTCTAATTGATCAATCAAAAAATGCTTCAAAGTGTTTGTTAAAAGCGTTTGATTACGTTGACTCAAAGTGATCAAAAGCAAGAAACAAGAAGCAAAAAAGCATATTGCAAATTACGTTTTATCCTCTGTAATTCATGAACATCTCAATAAAGCAACCGCGATTCTAAACTCGTTTTACTAATTGTGAATGCGCGCTTGTCCTTGACTCCTTGCACACAAAACGAGGACGGGGTTCGCTAAACAAAAACGCAAACGGGAGAGCCATTGTTATTTTGCAACACGCGCGCGGAAGGAGGCATTTAACACGACTCGAAGGTTCGACTTTTCCCCGTCACGGTCACGGGAGATCGCGATATTGTTGCACGGCCTCCCATTGATGTTATAAATGAATATTTAATACCAATTACCCCGTTAATTGTCGCGGCTTATTAACCCCAATTGATAATCCGGTCCGGTGGACTTGAACATTTTTTCAATTGCGTTATGAAACATTGTTTATAACAAATGTTTTCCTATAACAACTTTACACAATTTTGAATTACACTGTCTTATTTCGTGAATTTTGACCTTTAAAATAAAAAAAAATTGTTCAATTATGTTAGCTTTAAATAAAGATATTATAACTGCAAATATTGTACAGTTAATATTAGAAATATAGCCAGAATTTTATTTAGAAGTGGGAAGGGAAGGGTCAGTCAATTAATTAAAGTTAAGATTTTTGAACCCGATAAGGGATGAAGATAGTCGAGTGATATGAATTATTTTTGACTTGTTTTTTTTGTGTTGAAAAGTAACATTTATTTTTATTCTTAACATCAATAAACACTCAAGTTTTGTATCCAAAAAGCATTATTTTTAAATTTCAAGATAAAGTCATTTTGAATTTCTCTTGACTTAGTGTGTTCCTTGGAATCTCTTTTACACAAGAAATATAATATTAATTTAAACAATAGAAATGATCATTAATGATCGCTCGGTACTTCTTGGTAAGGAAATTGGAGTGAAAATCAATTATGATTAATTACCATATTTTTTTATTAAAGTGCATGTGTATCTTTGACGTAGGCGTTTATTTATCCTCGGATAATCCAGAAAGTTTGATAACCCGAATGAGTCACAGCTTGACAATTATCTTTATCAATGAGCTCAATACGAATTAGCCCAGGAAATCGCCTGGCAACTTTCTTTCCGGGGATTCCCGACTCCCAATTCTCCGAACCGAATTGAAGTAAACGCTTGCCCGCAATGCCCGCGAAACTCGAACGCAGTAGAAACACAGGCGGAAACGCGCCGCGAGAAAGAGCCGAGAGTACTGGAGGGAGACGTCCTTGATTGACGGTGTTAATACATAACATATAAAGGAAACCGTTCTCGTCGCTGCAGGTCCAGACCGACTAGCGCTTGACAGACATGCCCGCCAATGAGGATACCTCCAACGACGAGACGTCGTTGCGAATGAAACACGAAAGAGCCGGTCCATCCATGGAATCTTCGTGGCGGAAGATGTCCGAGGAACATCCACGAGCGAATCCCTCGCCGATCCCGAATCTGCCGGGTCTCGTTAATGGCATCGAAGAACGACAAGGAATCGAGAAATGGGATTTCCGCAGTATGCCGCGTCGGGACGCTCACGAGAAGCTCTTCAGGGACTTCTTCGAGCTTGTGCTGCAGCGTGCCGTGTTCCAGGTGAGCTTTCAAGAGAACACCTATATTTATTTATTCATTGATTTGAGCGCGATAATTTTAATTGAATGAAACAATGCGAGTTTTGCAAATGTAAGTAAATGATGGAGTGTTTTGTATGCAGATTTGTTAAACATAAATAGAGAAAAAGGCATTAAAAGAGAAAAGATTTAGCATTTATATTAGAGTAGAACGTCTATTTTTGCTATATTTTATATATATATATATATATATATGTGTGTTATTTATATTAATATTTTATACACATGTAAATTAAATTTGTAATTTATATTAAAATATATATATAAAATAATAAAAAATAATAAGAAAAAGATTCACAAGCAATCAAGAGTCAACGCGGTAATTAGTGTGTAAAGAATTCAATTATTTTTTATAGTTTTGTTTGTACAAAAATTGTAAGAGTTTTTAGTATAATTAGTTATTGTTATTATCGTTTAATATGTATAACTAATAAAAGTATTTGCAAGTCTAGACTCAGATATTTTCTTGAACTACGTTGTAAAAAATTGTAACAAATATTTTTCACAATTTTACATAATTTTAAGTAATATATATTTCTTGCGTTGATTCAAAATAAGAAAAAATTGTTTAATTATGTAACTTTAAGATACTTAATTTAAAGTACATTGGACTCGCAAATACTAGTTATGGAAATTTTAAAGCATTAATACGATTAGTGATAAATATAAATAAATATATCTATATATATTTATTTATATTTTTCAGGTAAATATGATTTGCATATAAATTATATAAATATGCTTTATATTCTATATTGCTTTTCATATTCATAACATCTGCAATGCATCAGATAAAACATAGATAGAATAGAGCATTAATCTATTCTATCTGAATATGTGAATTTACGTATCTGTTTCTATAGAGAACGTTATCACGCTATCGTCATTATTATTGCAACGATATCAAAATCCACGATTGCGTGATTTCGCAATGTTACCAAAGATAAGTGAATCTACAGTGGAAAAACATACTTTCTGGTACCAGATTTCTATTCCTATTTAACGTCACAAATGGTTAATAATCAATAAGGACCTTAATAGTCGACATTGTAGATGTTGCGCGGAGGTGATTAATGCGCGATTAACGTTACATTTTTATGTGTATTTAATGCTATTCCATTCATTACAAATACAGATTTTACGCTGTTTAACAAGCATAATGGTAGTATTAGTAGCAAATTATAATAATAGCGAATGACTCATCGGCAATTAAATTGCCAGTATTAATCTTATTATCATGTATGTGCTGTACTTTTCAGTAAAGTAAACGTAGATTACATTAAGTGACTCGATCAGGGACACATATCGAGAAAAAACGCAATCTTTAGCAAGAACCGCATTGTCTCCCATACTTAAGAAATGTGGCGTATTCTGCGAATATATTTATTAATTCTTCGAGGAATTCAAGAAAATAGTTTTTCCTTAATAGAAATTTTACATAAAATTTACTTTAAATTCCTTGTACTTTTTAATATTATTCTTTAACGTTAAATATTTAACGTGATTAAACGTCAAACTAAGGTACTATAAATATATTATTATAAATATATTAAAATTATATGGAATCTTTTAAATAAAAAAAATTGTGCTAAGAAGGGCTACGAGCCAAACAAACAAATTTTAATGTACGTAAAATGAGTTTGACATTAAATAAAATATAAAAGTCAAAACAAAGATAAAAATATGTCTACATAGAATTAAAGTTTTGTAATCTTTTATTCATTTATTATCGTATTTTCTGTCTAGCCCACATCTGGGAAAGATCGCGTGGTTGAATGGGTTGATCCTTACGATTTACGCTCCGTAGTCGACCTCTCATTGCCAGCCGAGGGTGTCAGTCATGAGAAATTGCTGACGCTGACACGCGACATCATCAAGTACAGCGTGAAAACGAGCCATCCGCATTTCGTGAACCAATTGTTCTCTAGCCTGGACCCGTATGGGTTGCTGGGTCAATGGCTGACCGATGCACTCAATCCATCCGTCTATACCTACGAGGTATCTCCAGTGTTCTCTCTGATGGAGGAGGATGTTCTGCGAGAGATGCGCGCCATCATCAGCTGGCAAGAAGGTGAGGGTCTCTTCTGTCCTGGAGGCTCCATGGCGAACGGATACGCCATCAATTTGGCGCGTCACCATAGGTGATTATTTACTAGTTATTTCTCAAGGTATATTATTAAGAAATTATGGATTTCATTATACAGGGTGTTCCAAAATGACCATCAAATATTTCATGAGTAGGTAAAGCAAACTAAACTAAGTCGAAACCATTTTGCAATTTTTGCAATAGTTAATAAGATTTTGCAATAATTAATAAAAATAGTTGAATATTCATATTCAATAACTTTTTACTCAAGAGCTATCAATTTTACAAAAAAAACAGCAAAAGACAAAATTGTTTATTCTCTTCTCATAAAGTTCTGAGAATTTTTTCAGAATATTTTAGTATCTCATTTTCCTAAGTTGGTAAAAATAGTTGTTAATATAAAAAAATGTAGTACTAACGAGTTGATAAAAAATTCGAAAAGAATTCTTAGCGCTCTATGAGGAGAAAATAAACAATTTTTGTCTCTTGCTATTTTTATGTAAAGTTGATAGTACTTGAATGAAGAATTATTGAAAACCAACATTCGGCAATTTTTTGTAATTACACAGATAACATTTATACGGCACATTAACGTTGCGAAGTCGTAAAGACTTCAAATGTTATACTGTGCATGTTACACTCATGTAAGACATCATGTGTTGAAATTCGTAATAAATAAATCATGCAAACAACATGTTAACTATGCGTTATGCTTTATAGCTGACACGCAGTTACGTTGTAACAGCATGATGAACAATACAAATTTTCTTTTATAAAATAAAATAGCACGCCAAGAGTACAATCCTGTTACAGCATAAAATTTTTATTAGTTTTCGTTTTTGGAGTCTAATTATAGGAACTCATCTCATCACCATTGGCTGCGTTCAACAGATTCAACCCAGTTAGAAATGGAATCAACATCGAATTGATGTCGATTCGACATCGTTCAACATTGAAAGCATTAAATCAACATCGAATCGAACATCAATTCGATTTCATTATCATTCCTGACTGGGAAGTTTGCTGAACGCAGGCATCCCAGATATCACAGACAGTTCAAAAGAGTTCAAAAAGAATTTCTTCTCAGAAAATTCTTTTCAGAAAAAGAATTCTTTTTGCATTTGAAAATGAGTTCAGAATTGATGGCATATCACTAAATTCTTTTTGAATTCTTTGTGCTATCTGCGGTTTTATAAAAAGAAAAGAAAGAAAAGAAAAAAAAATGTTTCACTGAGAAGTCTCTATAGAAGGACACAGTTCAATTTTTCGAGTTAAAAAATCACGTCGAATAGGATAAATGGTGCAATATGATGAGATTTCTCAGTAAAAAATTATTTTTCTTTTTTTTTTCATAAAATATTTGAGTTTAGCAAATTTAAGGCTCCTGAATAATCATAACAGCTATATTGAATCGTGGCGTCAGAAGCGAGAAATGATACGTTAATTTTTATTACGATTTAGATAAAAGAGATTAGATTTAGATAAAATAAAATGATGAGATTGCTTTAAAACATTTGTAAAAATGAGCTAAAACTGTGCTTATCGCCCCTTGACAGTCAATAAATAATCATAAAAGGCACGTGTAAGTGAAAATAAGCTATACACATTGAATAAAAGCACTTAATGTGCCTTTTATCACTTTTTACGATTATTTATTGACTGTCGGGGGGTGGGAAAGATAAGTATAGTTTTTTCACCCATTTTTACAAATGTTTTAAAGCAATCTCATCATTTTGTTTTATCTAAATTGTCTTTATAAATGGAACGTAATAAAAATTAACGTGTCATTTCTCGCTTCTGACGTCATGATTCAATGTAGTTATGATACTACTTAGGAACCTTAATAGCTGAGTCTGCTGAATACAGTCAATGGTGATGAGTTCTCATAATTAGGCTCCAAGAATAAAAACTAATAAAAATTTTACCTGCCATAACAGGATTGTACGCTTAGCGTGCTGTACCAAAAAAAAAATTCGTATAATTATTCATCATGTCGTCAACGTGCTGCTACAACGTAACTGCATATTAGCTATAAAATCACAGTATACAGTGTTAGTTAAATATGTTGCCATACTCAACAGAGCGATTCTTTGGTTTATTTCAAGTAAAAAAGTCTATGTAAACATATGTCTTAAACGGCTTAGTTTCCGAAATAAAAAAATGTAAACGTATAGTAATAATCTGTTTATTTGAAAGAAATACAAGTTGAACTAGTCAAAAACAGAAAAACAAAAACAGGCCATTCCTTAAGAAAGAACCCTTTTCTCAAAGATAGCGGTGAATATTCGCTAATGTTTTACGACATGATAAATTGCGTTGGGGATATCTTTCTGCATAAATATGCTTTGCCTCACGTGACCTACCATTTGCAAGACCGTAGACAAAGTGCATGTCTGCCATTTCAAAATTTATAAACTTAGACATGATGAAATGACCAATTTTGATAGATTGAAACAATTTGGCCCGAAAACGTATGTACAAGCTAACTGAACCGCAGTAATATCAAAACTATTTTTAATCTGAAGTCTATTTTTGATTTTGTGACTTTGACTTTGACTTTGACTTTGTCACTTTGTTTATGGTTGTGCGAATGATAATTCACGTGAAGTAAGGCATATTTATGCAGGAAAATATCTCCAACGCAATTTACCGTTTTGTCAAATATTTGCGAACATTCATCTGTATTTTGGAAACTAAAGCATGTTTATATGGACTTTTTTACTTGAAATAAACCAAAGAATCTCTGTTGAGTATGGCAACATACTTAACTAACCCTGTATACAATAGCGCAACTCTCCTGATTTTGTGTTAGTCAAAATGAATGCGCATGCGTGAAATAAGTAAGTTGTCCCGTCTCTTTTCGTCCTTTTTTTTATTGCTTTCTCTCTTTTTCTTTCTCTCTTTATTTAAATAAGCGTTTCAATGTTCCACTTAAACATTTCTTTCAAGCATACATTCAGAGTAGAAATTTAGAGGGAAGTATTACGTGTATTGTCGATTTGGTGAAATGTTGTGTGAGAAATCTCGAGAGATTGGTCTAATTTTTATGAAAAAGTGATAAAGTGAAAAAGTGAACAAAAGTAACATAGAAAATCGAACAAGAAAGATTTCTTTTTATTTATTATATTTTAAGTTTTTTCTTTATTTTTTAATATATTTACAGTTTCTTTTTATTAATTTTCATAAAGTTTAAATTATTTCATTGCAATATTAGATTTATTCGCGTCGCATGCTCCAATATGTTCCTACAATAGCACTTACTCACTTCAACGAATTCGTTGGATTGTGATGTGAATAAATCTTGTAAGTTTTGCGAGGAATTTTGACAAAGTGAAAAATGAATGAAAAAAGAAAGTGGTAACCGTGGCAACGCTAGATAACTTACTTATTTCACACATGCGCACTCCATTTTGGCCAATATTAACATCAAAGGTGCCTACAGAGAGAAACGCTACTGTACATATTGTGGCACAACATCGCCATTATTCAGATAGCATTTATACGGCACAGTAACCGTACGTTGCAGAGTTAAAGCTCTGAAACATTACATCGTATACGCATGTTACACTCACGTATCACAGTATATACAGTATTTTATTTTAGGCCCGTTCAGCTGTAATGTTTAGCTATCTGGGTAATATATTCTTGTTAATTATTGTGAAAATTGCAAAATGATAGAGGATTTTTCTTCTCAGTCCGTCTTTAGTCCGTTCTATCAGCACACGATATATTATATTTAGCGGTTATTCTGGGACATCTTGTATACACAGTAAAAATAACACAATTTGTATTTGTGTTAAAAATAATCCACTGAAGTTCTTGTTTTTTTGTATTGAATTTTTAACATATTTAAGTATTTGTATATTGATAATTATTCAATTAATTATTATTACATATGTTGCCATTGGGATCAAATGAATAAAGTGATAATGTTATTAATTTAAAATAATAAATAACAGTAAAGTTAAGCTATTTTTAAAAAGTTTAAGCTATATTTAAAAGGTTATTAATTTATAGATATCCGAATCTGAAGCAATCCGGATTATCGCAGATGCCACGACTGGTGGTGTTTACTTCGGAGGATGCGCACTATTCTGTGAAGAAGCTCGCCGCGTTCCTGGGAATCGGCTATGATAACGTATATCTAGTCAAGGTCGACTCTCGTGGCAAAATGATGGTCTCTGATCTGGAGGCTCAAATCGCCCGAGCCGTCGAGGAGGGCGCCGCGCCGCTTATGGTATCCGCCACTGCGGGAACTACCGTGATAGGCGCGTTTGATCCCCTCAGAGAGATCGCAGAAGTCTGCAGGAAACATGAACTATGGTTCCACGTGGATGCCGCGTGGGGTGGAGGTGCACTTATCTCCGAGACGTACCGTGGCCTCCTGGACGGCATTCAGTTCGCCGACTCCGTCACCTGGAACCCTCACAAGCTGCTGGCCGCGCCACAGCAGTGTTCCACCCTGTTGCTTCGTCATGAAGGTCTCCCTCTTTATTCTTATATCTTTCCTTGTACTTTATACTTTATTTTTTATAGAGAAATTTTATTTGTATGTTTTTTAATTCATACTCTAATTTATATAAAATGTAAAAAATGAATGTGGTTATAATTTCAAAAATATGAAAAGAAAGAGCATAAAGAACCACAGCACAAGATGTAGTTAGTGATATTTAATTATTCTTGCATTACGAATTATAATAAAACATTAAACGTTTCGGCCACAATCTGGCCATCTTCAGTAAAATTAATAATATTCTTAAGACGCAGAGTTACATCAAGTTGGAATCAAATTCAACCCTCGTGTGTTATAATTGTAAAGATCGTGTTTGCATCAAAGCGACGCTGCTTCATATAATGTTAAAACGTCAGAAGTCATGTAGTAAAAAGTGTAGAACGAGAATTTCCAGATTCTAATTTACAATAATTTATTTTATTATTAATATCTTTTAAAACGGAATATAAAACAAAGGAAACATTACCTGTTTTACAGCAAAATAATCGATGAATTACAAGTATATTCATTTCACAGATAGAAATTTGTCGTGACACTATGTGTTGTTATTGGTCGTATCACATATTTTTCGGCTATTTATATCCATGAATCAAATAGTTTAGAAAGTTCTAGAATTATTTATTAAGTGCGAGAGAGATCTTTCTTTAGAAGAGGAAGATAAACATCAGGCAAACCTTCAGTATCACTTTGTTTATTGATCCCACTTATTTGGTTTTTAATGTGTATCATTTCTGAAATTCTTCGTTTCATCAATGATTGTTCTGTATCTAAAATTTTAATGTTATCCCAATCAAAATCATGCATTTCATTCACACTTTATATTCACATTTTAATGTTGTCCCATCCCAAATTTCATGAAAAGAACATTTCGGATTTAATTCACACTCTTCTCAATAATGGCTATCCTCTCAAATTCTTATTTTCGACAATTAATAATAGAATAAAAACTTTGGAAAATAGAACTAATCCAGAAAAAAATCGTGAAGTAAATAATGATTATGATTCCAACAAGAAAAAATTTTTTACGATACCATACTTAAGTAAGGTTTCTGAGAAATTCGAAAAACTTGCATATATTCATGGGTTTAATATAGCCTATAAATCGATGAATAAATTAAATACAATTATTAAAACAGGAAAGGATCCCTTACTTAAGGATGACTATTGTGGGGTAGTTTATAAAATTAATTGTTTGAATTGTGAATCGTCATATGTTGGCCAAACTAAGAGAAAATTAAAAACTCGTATTAAAGAATAGATATTAGATTGATATTAAGAAATCTACTTCTGAGATATCAGTTGTTTCACGTCACCGTGTGAATGAAATGCATGATTTTGATTGGGATAACATTAAAATTTTAGATACAGAACATCATCATTCATCATTGATAAAACGAAGAATTTCAGAAATGATACACATTAAAAACCAAATAAGTGGGATCAATAAACAAAGTGATACTGAAGGTTTGCCTGATGTTTATCTTCCTCTTCTAAAGAAAGATCTTTCTCGCACTTAATAAATAATAGTATCTAGAACTTTCTAAACTATTTGACTCATGGATATAAATAGCTCATCATTCATCATTGATAAAACGAAGAATTTCAGAAATGATACACATTAAAAACCAAATAAGTGGGATCAATAAACAAAGTGATACTGAATCGGCCACAATCATCCAAATGTTTATCTTCCTCTTCTAAGGAAAGATCTCTCTCGCACTTGATAAATAATTCTGGAACTTTCTAAACTATTTGACTCATGGATATAAATAGCCGAAAAATATGTGATACGACCAATAACAACACATAGTGTCACGACAAATTTCTATCTGTGAAATGAGTATACTTGTAATTCATCGATTATTTTGCTGTAAAACAGGTAATGTTTCCTTTGTTTTATATTCCGTTTTAAAAGATATTAATAATAAAATAAATTATTGTAAATTAGAATCTGGAAATTCTCGTTCTACACTTTTTACTACATGACTTCTGACGTTTTAACATTATATGAAGCAACGTCGCTTTGATGCAAACACGATCTTTACAATTATAACACACGAGGGTTGAATTTGATTCCAACTTGATGTAACTCTGCGTCTTAAGAATATTATTAATTTTACTGAAGATGGCCAGATTGTGGCCGAAACGTTTAATGTTTTATTGTAATTCGTAATGCAAGAATAATTAAATATCACTAACTACATCTTGTGCTGTGGTTCTTTATGCTCTTTCTTTTCATATCTAATTTATATTTTAATAACGAGATGATCTTATCTTAAAATTAAAATATCATATAATGTGTGAATTTTAATTAATTTAATTAATTAATTTATAAGTTAATCACTTAAGATAATTTTGTTATATTTTTTATATATATTATTTTATCAATATTTTATTTCTAATTCGTAACTTTTCAATATTTTGAATCGTAATCGCGAAAAAAAATTATTTTAAAATCTCAAGTATCTTTTTTTTATATATTCTGGAGGAACATTGCGTAAGCGATAAATTTATAAACGGAGTTTCACTCTTAGGTTTATTACAAGCGGCACACGGTTGCGGGGCGAGCTACCTTTTCCAGAACGACAAGTTCTACGACGCGTCGTTCGATTGCGGTGATCGCCACGTGCAATGTGGCCGCCGCGCTGACGTCGTCAAATTCTGGTACATGTGGAAGGCGAAAGGCACGCGCGGCCTCGAGGCCCACGTCGACCGCTTGTTCGCGCTTTCGCGCCACTTTACCGATCTCATCAGGACACGCGATGGCTGGCACTTGCTCGTCGAGCCGGAGTGCATCAACGTTTGCTTCCGCTACATTCCGCCGTCGAAGAGGCACCTGACCGGCCAGGAACTCGAGCAGGCGCTTCACAAGGTGCAACACTCGACTCTATTTAATCTAAGCGCGTTTTTGTTGATGACACTTACAGACGCAAACTAATGAATTAGGAGAATTAACCTATATAGAATTTGCAGTAATAACGCTGCAATATTGCTGCAAAGTTGCAGCATTGTTGCAACTTTTGTGTTGTAGGAGAAGCGAATCATTTTTATTCTATTTGGATTGATGAGATAATAGACTCAACATCCTGATTGTTTTTATATTGTTAATTAAAGTGGTTATTTTTAACACATCACGGTTTTTTGAGCTTTTGTACTATTTTGAATTTATAATTTATTTTCTTCTATTTTGTTAATTTGTATGTCTTGATTTTTGATGAAATCGTTGCAGATCGCGCCAATAATTAAGGAACGCATGGTACGAGCAGGGACAATGTTGATTACATATCAGACATTGAGAAATATGCCCAATTTCTTCAGATTGGTGCTGCAGAACTCGGGACTAACGGAAGCTGATATGAAGTTCTTCGTTGAGGAGATAGAAAGGCTCGCCATGGACCTTTGATTAGTTCAATCAATACGATTGGTAAATAGCAAGTACTGTAAATAGTGATATAGACTGTGTATGTATTTTACTAGCTTAAGAAATATTTGCACTTGGTAAATCTACGTGTGATTCGTATTGAAAGAGAACAAGAAATAATTACTAGCGTCTCTCTCAATTTTCTTTTTAATTTATGTATAATGCGCGCACATTCAATTTTAATTATATTATTTTAATTAATATATATGTATTATAGTTTTCTTCTTATTACTTTCTTTCTCCTTATTTTCTTTCTCTTTGATCGTCGTATCTTTCGCAAGGATTTTACGAATTAATCAATTTAGAATAAAAAAGCGGGAAAAAAGAGAGAATTAATTAAATTAAAGAATGTAAGGGAAAGAAGGAGCGCACAAAGAGCGCGCTCCTACTTCCCCTTATGTTCTTATTTCTAATTTGTTAAATATTAAGGAGTCCTTTAACATTATTAAATATTGTTCTCATTAGAGAGAATTGATATTCCACAGCAGAAGTTTATTCTGTATATATGTTGTCGAATTGCAAGGAATAAAAAAATCAATTAAAAAAGAAAAAATTAATATTTACTTAATTGAAAGTCGATAGGAAGGAATAGGAAATCGCAAAAAATACAGCAGATTGACTGCAACAATATTCAATTTCTCTTCTTGTTGACTATTGTATGTATAATATAATATCGACCGTTGTCGGCATAACGATATAACTATCAGATATTTACAGATATCCTTCAGCAATGATTTACATTTACATTTACATACATCGATTTAAAGTTTCGTCACGATTTCTACACAAACACAACTCAATAACAATATCGTATGCGAATTGTCTCTCAATAATGAGTTATTAATCGTAATAAAAATATTTCATTCGCGATGCGTTTGGACCGGAAATTAGTCCTCACGCAGATATGCACAGCCCCATGCGGTTACTCCTTATTATTCCTATTCCAATTCTTTATAATCTCAATTTTTTTCAATCAAAAATATATTATATTTAACTATATTCCTTAAGGAACTTGATGTGGAATTGCTTTAGTGCTTCAAGCATTGTTTTGATTTTCTCTTTTTGCGGCAGTATCGTGGTCCGGAAATGGTATGTACCGGGTATCTGGCCGAAGCCCGAACCAGGGATTACACAAATCCCAGTACTCTCCAGCAGTTTGAATGCGTAGAAGACGTCTGGTTCTTGACCTTTCGTTCGCGCCGCCTCAATTGCTTTTGGCGGTAATTCGAAACGCGGGAATACATACATCGCGCCCATCGGCGGATTCGCCTGAAAAGGAAAAACAAAGATATTGTAAAAACTCTGTCGAGCGTAGTTTTTCTTGACTATCCTAAGGACAGTCACCTTATATCCTGGAATACTATTGAGTGTATTGACGACGAGCTGCGATCTCTCTGCTAGAGACAGTAGAGTTTCCTTTTTCTCTTTCTGGAATTGCTCATACGATGGCTCATTCGGTCGCGGCGGATTCACCACAACATCCATCACGACCTGGCCGAGCACAGTAGGACACAGCATCGCAGAGATTGACTTCAATAGCACCTTCATCACTTCCGGGTCCATGTTGATAATTTCGGCGTAACCGCCACGGATCCCGCATTCACCCATATATCCTGAAAAAACGAAATGCCCGGAATGCTTCTGAAATTTTCCAAGAAATCTATTCATGAATTTAACTTGATAATCAAAATTCAATAATTTTTCAAATCACATATTCCTGTTCAACGTTTCAACTAAATCAATATATTATTGCGGACATAATTTAAGAATTCAATGTCCCTTGATTAAATTGTCTTGAAAGTCTAATATTTTAAATAAATTGTTTTTAGCGATTCTTATCGCTAAATGTTTCGATTCCGAAACTCTTTTTTCGCGTACCTTTTGAGATGGACATAAACGATGCCAGTTCCATCTTCGAATACGGCTCGCCCATCTCCGTCATGACTTTCTTGAAAGAATGGAATGCGCTGTCTTTGTCGTATATGTTGTCCTGGTAGACCTCGTCGGCCAGTAAGAACAGATGATGTTTATGGGCGAAGCGGATGACGTTTTCGATGTTCTTACGAGTCAATACTTGACCGGTTGGATTACCAGGATTGATCACCACCAATACGCGAGGATTACATGTATTCTTGATTTCTCTTAATGTTCGTTCCAGCTCGCTGACTTCTAGCGACCACTTATTATCTTCATCCAGATAGTACCCGATTTGAGCGAGTCCAAACTCCGCCAGGGTCGCCGAATACAGAGGATACTGCGGAATTGGGATCAGAATGCCGGATGGTTTATTATTGATCCTTTCGTTGAATAGTTTCAGGAATGACTGGAAAGAGAAAATTCAGAATTAGATAAGAATATATTTAAAAAAAAGGTAATATAGCGTCATTGTACTGTCAGTCTGTTTTTATTCAAAATATCCAAGTTAAAATGCCAATTTTATATGCTATGCATTGCATACATAAAAGTCATTGTTTAATGTAAAGTTTTTCAACTAGTGCCATGAAAATTCTAGAGAAAATAAAAAGAAGCAAAAAAGTATAGAAATAAAAAACGATTATAACATGCAAGATAAAAAATATTTTTTAAATTATAAAAGTTATCTAAGTTATATTTATTCTTATTAAATCATGTTTACTCTCACTTGAACTAAAACAATATCGTCAATTCAATAAAATTACTTTTAAAACAATAAGATAAAACAATAGAAACTCTAGAATTTAATTTTATTTATTTTTAACTGTCGTGTTGGACAAAAGATCTATGCTGCAGAAGCATGTGCATCTCTAATGATGTATCTCGACAAATTTGGCACGTTATTTATAAATGTGTTGTAAATTAAAGGAGGTTGAAAAACACTGTCTAATACATAAATATTGTATATATTCTATACGCATAAAATAATTTTATATGCTTATTATTATATAGAAAAATTGGACTTTAACATATTTGAGATCGCAAAGACTTTCATTTTTTTAAATATTCTTTAACATCACTTTTCGTTTTGACTTTTGACATTTGTAAACTTACTATTCTTCACCCAGAGAAAAGGTTTCTTCGATTTAAATAAATGTTTCTTTGTTATACACGGTTAAAGAATTTCTATTATTTGTGAACATCATTTCTTTGATTTAAACTTTTTATTTAACTTTATTTTTTTAAATAAAATAAAATTTATTTGATTTAAAAAAATAATATTTAAATCAAAGAAATAACGTTCACAAATCAAAGAAATTTTTTCTTTAACCGAATAGCAAAAAACATTTCTTTAAATCGAAGAAATCTTTCTCTCTGGGTGTTGCATGCCAAAACATTACTAAATAACTAGATTGCTTTCAAATGTTTCGAATAATAAAGAGATAATTGAAATCTAAGTACCTTGATACCATCAGAAGCACCATTCGAGAGGATGACATTGTGATAATCGCAAGGGATACCGCCATCGCGTTCCTGGATGTACTGTGCAACATGCTTGCGAATACATTCAATGCCAGCCGATTCTGAGTACGAGCCAACGCTGCCGCCCTTGCAACCTCCCAGGACCAACCTGGCACGATCTTTCGCGTCTTCCGGATAGCTCGGATCATCCAACAGATTCGGCGAGACTGTCAGAGTGAGTACTTGCCGCAGGAACGTGATAGGCTGCTGACCCATCGCGTGGGCATCGCCCACGTTCGCTTTGATTACTTCCTTGAAAGGTTTATCAACGCCCTGCAAAGAAAAACAAGCTTAAATCCTAATGCAATCCATGTGCTTATTTTTCAAACATTTCCGAACTTTTTAGCGATTACTTAAATTACATAAATGTGATTGGAAATCATATTTAAGTAATTTTCCGGTCATAGACATATAATTTCCATATAAAATTACATGCATTTTTTTCATACATAAATCAAAATTTTGTTGAAGCAAGATTTATTTGAAATCAAACAGAAAGTAAGATTTTATTATTTATTCGAATCCTTGAGACTTATAGTTCACAGAAATTCGCGATATTCTTTTAATTGCTTATAACGTATATATTATATTTCAGTTTTTACAAAAATACCGAAATCTTAAGATATATTATTTTTTATGTATTAATCTTAGTGAAAAATCTTTTTATAATTTTATACATAATTGTTCATAGAATTTTTTATAGAATTGTGTTTAAATTGTAGAATCTTTGAAATTTCTAATTTTATAATTTAATTAAATATGAGAAATCCTATTCTGTATATGTCATTTTATATTTAATTCTGAAAATTTTTTTTATTCTTGAAACTCTCAAAACGTTTGCAAAATTGAATATATACTTAACATGAATTCACACCGAAGCATTGAGATCTGCTTTGATCGAAAATATGATTTCTCTTATTTAATAATAGATTTATTTTCATTGATTCAATTTCAAATAGTAGTAATTTTATAAATTTTTCAACATTTTTTGTATAAGTTGGAATTTTTTTAAATTCTTCATATACGTGTGAATTCTGCAATAATTGAAGATTTTTAAATTTTTCTCTAATTTCTGTAGGAAACATGAGAGGTTTTTTTTACGAAATTTTTTAATTTTTAATTTTTTAGAGCTTTTTAATAACACCGATCTGTACAATCATCTGTACACCGATCTTTAATCATACAATAAATTTGAACAGGCCAGCAGAGTTAAAGTATTTTTTTCAGAAAGCTTCATAAGTTTAAATATGACAAATTTTTTAAAACATAAAAATTAAATTTAAAAATATGAGTTTAAATTTTTGCATCAAGAAAATTAAATAATTAAGTAATTAAGTAAATAATTTTCGAGTAAAAAAAATATTACATATTTTTATACCTCGAAACTACCTTTATTAGAGGAAATAATGTTATTCTACTAAACTGGGTAAACTTCGCACCGTAAAACTACGTCATCGACGAGCATTATGCAATTACGTGTCAAGCGAAACGTGAGAATGTAGGCATAATACGAGAATATTATTTAGCACGTAACTTCACTGAATTGAATGCATTTCTTTTTTTCTCAACAAACCGGTCGTTTGCATTTGTAAAAGGTCGATACTCCTATATTTAAAAATTTTAAACGTATTTAATGCATTAAAAAGAAATGCATAAGAGAGTATTAAAAAATAGCATTTTCGAGACTCTAAACATCTTGAAATCAACAAAATTGGAACAGTGTGGCCTAAGTAAACATCTCTAGAGAAATGCGTTTAATCAGGTCACCCTGTATATCCGTAAACGACATAAAACAGTTCCGGAAGAATATCGTTTACGAAGAAACATTACTCAGGAAGATAATGGCACACATATATCTAGTCTTCTCGCCTTCGACACTTTCAATTTTTAATGTTTTTTTTTTAAATCAATCTCTGCATTTTCATACAGTATATACGTTTCCGTTATAGTAGTAACGTCATTTCTCAGGTTTAATAATGTGATAAGAGATTACCATATGTGTCTAGCCAGTAGATTACCGAAATAAAAATGAAAGTTGTTCGAGGCTGTTCGAGGCAATTGCGTTCTCATGCTGCAGGCGACATAAATGCTTGCCGATTACATGATTGAATGCGGATAAAATGTGTCAACTACAATTATGTGTACTACAAAATATTTCGCGTCATCAATACGTATTATCGAACACTCATATGTTAATCTTTTCTTAGATAACAATTGCACGCGATATGTTCGAATTATTTCCATTTTATTTAGAAGAAATAGTAGAAGAAATAATTTAGTTAAATGTTCATTAAATAACTTGAGTAAAAATATTATATATTAATTAATTTTGATATTCTGTTGCATTCATTTACATTTTATTATTTGCAGAGCAAATAATTTAATATTTATATGTTAATATTATTTACATATATCGCGCTTGTCTATGTTATTATCTGCAGGAGAATTAATTTAAATAAATATCGTGCTAATGTAATTTAGATGTTCCACGTTGCGCTCATCTATATTTTATGATTTGTAGAACAAATATATATATATATATATATATATATATATATATAATTTGAATAAAGATTTACATTCTAATAGTATAGAGGGATCTTTGTATGTGTCATCAATATTTTAATACTTAAGATAAATTGCTTAAGATGAATGCTGGAGAAAAAGTGTAAAAAAAAGTGTAAGCAAGTCGAACAGATCAATTACGAGCTCGACATTTTCGTACTAGGATCTTTTATTCTATTGATAATGACCTGATTAAAAGTCAAAATCTTGTTTATTGTTTAAATTGTACTGCGTTTAAAATTTACTTTGTCTTCATGATATGCCATTAAAGTATTGTACAGTAATTGTGAGACACCCTGTATATTATGTTCCTCTAATTTTTAAACTTATATTCTTCTAATGTGCTAATTTACAACTGATTTTTTAAATAGATAAAGTCAGCATCTGAATCCATATTTTTAACGAAATTATTATACGTGGAATATTTTTCCACAGTTGCGCGTGACTTCGCATTAAAAGCGATGGGTATAAAACTGAGGCCTCCAACATACACTCCAATTTTAACGTTGCCTTTCTTATTAGTTATATTTTTGCTCAATGTCAAGAATACATCCTATCGAAGCGATATCTTGCGATATATTGGGTCGGGGAAAAAAGTCTCTTCATATTTTTTAATTCAAAATTGTATATACAACATATCTTCGTGAAAAATGAACGAAATTTAAATTAAAAAAAAAGTTTTAAAGCTCTTGAAATCTCTACTTTCGAAAGATTATTATATTTTTTGAGTTTCTGTGAGTTTAGTAATTTTTACATTTAAAAAACTACGATCTGAAAAAGATGAAAAATTTTCTTTTGACTTTGGGGATCTCTCACGTGCCCAAAAAAAATTTACGAAAATGTTCGACTATCGTGAAAGCTTGAAGTTTTCC